TGGGTACCTCTGAACTCTTTTGCATAGCCCACCTGCCTCTTTTGCTGGGCTATGAACAAGGATGTGGTACACTCGTAATGATAACGGTCATTTAAAATAGTCATGGCCTCCATAAGGTCATAGGAAATGCTGAGCTGTGTCAAGCAGCTGAGAAAAGGCAGCCATGTCATTTCCAGGGAGGGTTGGATTTTGCAGTCCTGCTGGAGCTGAGAGGGTTGTAGTGGCCTCTGTGCCGGGTGCAGAAGCCACCATTAGAGCTAAGAGTTCGCTCTTACTTTCTTAGCCTTTGTTTTAGGATTGGATTATGGGGTGGACATTTTTCCTACGCTTAAAGCGTTCTTCAGAGTGACAGACAGTTTGTTTTATATGGTTCTATGTAGAACTTTTTTGAAAAGCATTCTATATAGGACCAAAAAGGGTTCTTCTACTGTTATAGGCTTGACATCATATAGAACAGAAGAACCCTTATTCATGTAAGTCTAAACTCAAAATCCTGACACTATAGACAAGCTTAGCTAGATGGCTAGCTAAAGAGATTACTGTGCATCTCAGGATTTATAAGATTAATAGTATAGGAAGCTTTTCAGGATTCTTCACACTTTTTTTGTTTTTTGTTACTTAGTTCTTTCAACTATCAACAGTCCACTTCACATGAAGTCTTTTGTTATACTATTGCTAAAAGTTAACATTAAATAAATTTGTCACATTTTTGTTATTCTAACCATAATGGTGCTTTTGCGTTTCATTTGACCAGTTTGGTCTATATTAACACAAAGTGTGATATGGACAGAAAAAAGATCCTCTAAAGGTAGTAGCAGATAATAGCATAGACCCTAAAACATTAGTGAGCCTTTGTCCATTAAAGGGGAATTCCAACAATTTGTATACAACATTTCTATATAATTGAATTGTCAAGATGCAAAGTCATTCAGAGTCATTTGATGTGAAAAGCACTGTTGAGTCAAAGTTGCCTATTAATGTTCCCTCTCAAACAGCTATTGCATGAAAAAAGTTATGAAAGCTATGCTTGATGTCTGAGACTGTTTAAGATTTTTGCCTACAACATATTAAACAAAAAAACAAACAAACAAACAAACAAAAACAGTCATGGCAGAGAGGTTAATGCATGCTGTTGTCAGGTTGTAAGTAAGTTTTTAGCAAAAACTGAAAACTTATTTTTTTGCTATCATCACAATTACTTACAAAAACTCTCAAAAACTGTTCATTTTGGATAGTAAACAAAATGGTTATATTTGTGTTGTAGACCTCAGGTTCGTATCACCACCACTGTCAAGAAATCAGAGTCAGTGAATTTCTCTATAATGCACAATTTCACATTAAACCACTCTGAACAACTTTTTACATCTCAACAATTTAACTGCTCAGGAGAAGCATCTGTCTCAACATTATTGCATGAACACATCCTTATGAAAAAGATCTATAGTAATACTACAGGAATCTGTACAGTATTCATACAAGAATCTTACAGTAAATGTGGAAAATTACTATAGTTTATTACAGGATATTACACAAGAAAATATTATAGATTATTATTATTGTAATACAGCATTATATACATTTTATAGTTTTATATTGTATTACTGCAATTCTTTTTTGTAGGGGTATTAACATTAGGTGTGTTTATTATAATGGCTCTGCAGTTAGATAATAAAGGAGTGGTGGTGGGCTTTGACTGGGGGAGTTGAATTGCTTGGGTTGCTTACGTTTCCCCTCTGAAAGAGCTTCACAACACTGAGGCTAACTGTGAAAAAGAACTAATGAGGATATTTTTCCAACATTCAGCCCATTGTAAGGGGGGTTTCCCTTAACATTTGTTTGCATTTGTAGCAAGTAAAGCAATGAGTTCATTTTTAAAGAAGTGTTTCCCAACACTGGGCCAACCGTTCTTACGAGAAAATCTCTTCTTAAAACCCACTTACACAGAGATTCTGACATTCACCAATGTTATTTGGGATTTGTCCAAAAGTAAGTGCAGAATCTACACACACTCAAGAGCACAAAGGAGCGAACAATTCTGCAGTTTAAGAACACATCATGAATCTGACACTGACATTTTCTTAGGACCTTTCTCAAGAACACATTTAAGAAAAACTTAGGAAGACACTGGTGAATGAGGCTCACTGTTCCAGGAAGACTAAAGAGAGCTGCCATGGGGTGCCTGCAACTTGCAACTGCAAACTGTGGTGGGAGAGCAGGAGAGCCCCCCGCCCTTCACTGCTGATTCTAGACCTGTTTGCGTGGACGTTAGAGACGATCAGAAAACACTCAGAGCTCATTGATCCACACAGAATGAGCAAGATGAGAGCTGTACTGAAGGTGCTGCTGCTGATGGCTCTGCTGGTTTCTGCTCAGGGATGGGATAACTACTGGAGCTTACCTGATTCATACAGAACACACACTGACAAGGCACTGCGCAATGCCAATGGAAAATTTGGGGGCCCTTATCATGTTGCCTATAACAGGCTCTTGTCCAGCCTGAGAGTAAGTGTGTCTTCTGTCTGTTATTTTCTGTAGCTGAAATTATTTTTTTAGCCTGTAAAGTTACACAAAAGCTCGCAGAATGTTTGTAGTTAATCTTAACAGCTGCAGATTTTAGGTTTCAGATCAGTTACCAGTAATCATTAATCACTAAAAGAATCCCAGTGCGAACATTTTGCAAACAGACGGTTTCTGTTTATTGGCTCCACTTGCAGGAAAAAAGTTTTGACTCATTTTATACCCCCTTATAAATAAAGTTGCATTCAGGAAATAAATGGAAACTGCAAAATTGCTGGTAAATGGCAGAGAGAAAACGTGAGACAACTGTGTGAAATATTTGAGAAGGTATTTAAAAGATTTATAATTTATAAAAGCAATAAGCATTTACTTGCTCAGAAAAACACTAATATTAAAATAAATATAACACTAATAAAATATACACTGATCAGGGATATAACATTATGACCACCTCTTTGTTTCTACAGTCATTGTCCATTTTATCAGCTGGACTTACTATATAGGTGCACTTTTTAGTTCTACAATTACAAACTGTAGTCCATCTGTTTCTCGGCATACTTTCTTAGTCCCTTTTACCCTGCTCTTCAGTGGTCAGGACCCCCAAGGATCCTCACAGAGCAGGTACTATTTGGGTGGTAGATCTCAGCACTGCACTAACACTAATGTGGTGGTGGTGTGTTAGTGTGTGTTGTGCTGGTACGAGTGGATCAGACACAGCAGTACTTTACTGATTGGTGTATATTGATTTTGTCTGTCAGTTTAACTATAAGTCATGTCCCTTAAGTATTTCTATACTTCTGCTTATGGCAGCCCAGTATTGTTTCTATATGTATAATGTGCAATTCACACACACACACACACAAACACACGCACACACACACACACACACACACACACACACACATATATATATATATATATACAGTACTTTAGATATATATACAGTTTTACTTGGAGATTAATGTGGCTCAATTTTATGCTTTTTCACAGATTACGGACAGCAGCTTCTACATACGTGTGCGTCTGATGGTCACCACATGTAAAAAGGATCCAAATAAAGGTTTTGGACATCGAGATGAATGTGCTACACAAAAGCCTAGTACGGTGTGTATGATATCTTTACTGGCTGAATGTAAAGTCAAATGATCACGTACTAAACATTGACTAGCCAAGGTCCGATTTCTTCTACTTACTTATTAATCAGTGTGTAAACAGACTGTGTTTCTGAATATGTTGAGATTAAAAAAAGGGAAAGGCACTACAAATCAGTTACTAACACACAAATTCTCATTTAATTTTTAAAGCCCTGGATTGACTGTGTTGTGTGTAAGCCAAAAAATGGGGCAGAACTAATTGACTGTGCGAGACAAATGGATGTCAAAGATGTAAGTTCTGAATTTATCGGTATCTAATGCACGTCCTACTGCTAATGAACAGTAGCTACAGTATATATAGGAACACATATACTTACCAGACAAAATGTATAACCTATTGTTGCTGACAACTGAAAAGTAAAAATATGTCTTATTGATCTTATTACAGAGAGAGAGCATTCGGAGTAGTTGTCCCACTCCCTCAGATTACCACCTTGGAGGTGGATCTATAAATCTCGAGGATGATGGGCCGCAGTATGGATGTCTTGGATGTGTCTGACTTTGAGACCCCTGAAGCAGCACACACGAACCAGGAAACATACAAATTCCAACTATGAATGAAATAAATAAAAAAAAAAAATGTAGTGATGATTGTATAAAGTCAGCTACTTCTAGACAAATGGTTAAAACCTACATAAGAAATGGAGCATGTGGTTTCCAATAAAAGGACACTTACATTTTAAGTTTATTCTGGCTGTCTGACTTTATGTATGCATTAAAATAGCTAACACAATAATGAGAATAAATATTTAAAACAAAACTACATTGTCATCATAGAGAATGATATGTTTGAACACAAAGTATTTATAAAATAATTATTGTGTGTATTTATACATTATTGGCAAACATTTGTGACTAATTTTAAAATTTTATCTTAGACATGAACGCATAGGTAGCTAACTGTGCTGTTGAACAGCTTGTCAGGTACCAGAAGTAACAGTGTGCTTCAAAAGGCCCTCAGGGAGGAGAGCTTAGCCTGTTTAGTGAGAGCCTTCAGTCAAAGAACAGAAAAATTCACTACAGTCTTGGGTCAGTGTGAGTTACTAATGAATTTATTCATTCAAAATTTTAATTCTTGACCCAAACATTTCTTGCATTTTCTGAAAATGGTATTTCAGCAGTTTCAATAAAAATAACATTTTAAAGTGCCTTTTCTCTTTTGTTTGTGTTATTGTATTTTTTGTCATACATGAGTTCTTAGAGTAAAAATAAGTACAGAAACAAAATGTAAAAAAGCTGAAAAAGAGTCAGGTCCCTCAAATGTCAATTCTTTGCCTCCAAGCTTCAAGCATGTTTGTTTGATCCAGGTTCACAGACATGGGAAAGATTTTATAGTAATGACATGCCTCTAGTTTGTGACCATCATGGTTTGTCCACCCTGTTAACTTGTGGTTCATTCAGTTACATGAACAGTTTTCATCCTGATTCAATGATAATATTAAACATGATGCATACGTTTGTGCTAATTTGCAGAGACGGGAGTGGAGGAACATTTAAAAGGCTGGAAACAAATTCTGTCGATATTTATTTTTATTGTGAAAATTAATGGTATTTCATAGAGCCATAACAAGACAATGTACAGTGCAGATTCACTGTGTTCTTGTAGATTACTGTAAGGCACACTAAGTCTCTTAGGAGATGTAGATGTTACTAATAATGTGTCCTAAACATGTTGAGATAGTTATAAAAATGTCCTATAAGAGAGTGGACATTTGGTGAAAATGATTCTGAGCTGCACTATGTAAGTTTTTTTTGTTTAAATTGTAAGAAGGAGCGTTTGGACAAAAAAAAGGCTAAAATATGGTGAGTCTGCGCTGCTACAAGTCGCTCTGTAAAGCCTGAAACAATAATTTTAAAAAAGTCAGAGGGGTCAAGTTGGATTCCACAGAGGTTTTTTCAGATCACTTCATATGTATTTACATAAAAGAAAGTCCAACTCAATTTTTAGGTCTCAAATGGAAATCAACATTACACTTATGATGATATGATGACAGTAGTAGATAATTTACTTACATTCTCAGAAGACACATCATTCACCAAGTTCTCAATCATCAGGTTCATCCTCTCTGGGAAGGGCTGTGAAAATGATCTTTGGCACAGATCTCCTGGGGACATTCCGCTTCTGTCCCCTCATTATCCCCAAACGTGCTGCTTGTTGTGTTCATTTGTCTGATTTCTTTCTTGGTGATTTTCATGTGAATCTAAGATGTGTTGTCAAGAGTGCTTCTTTAGTTCTTCAGATTTTTTTATTTCACTTAATTCATCTTTGTTGATAACTGGTTGATGGATTTGCCTACATTTTTCCTGTCTGCTTATCATTTGATCACTGCCTCTCAAAATTCATCCAGTGAAACTCCTTAACATGTGGCTTAATTCAGTTTTTGTAAACAGCACATGTAATGCAGTTTAATTAAACAATTAGAAGGATTAAAATGGTTCTTTAAGGGTTCTAGTAAGGGGAATGGTTCTACTTAGAACTTATTCTGTATAGAACAATTTCATGCTTAAATGTTTTTTCGCATAGTGAAATGTTTCTTGAGAGAATGTGTTGTATAAGGTTCTATGTAGCGCCAAAAAGGGTTCTGCTATTGTTTTGATGTCAAGCTTGTAACTAAAGAATAACCCTTTTTGGTGCTATTTATAACCATTTTCAAAAAACCATATACAACACATTCTCCATCTATCTGAAGAACCATTTCACCATGCAAAGAACCATTAAGCCAAAAATGGTTCTATATACAACTCATGGTTCTAAATAGAACCATTCCTTTTGCTTAAGAACCCTTGAAGAAATGTCTTTTTTAAGAGTGCAGATAAAATTTTTATTGAAAATTATATGACAATATGGCTAATATAGCTAATTTTGGAGACAAAAACTAAAACTGGGCTACAGAACGAAAAGCTGCTTGGGAGCCAAAAGATTCGACTCTTATTTGTGAGCTGAGCCGATTCATCTGACTCACTGACAAGAGAGCGGGGGTGGTGACGAGTACGCGGAGCAAAGAGTTCTCGTTGCTTCTCGGCTCAGGAGTTCACGCTGATCGGAAGATTGAACGGTCGCGTGTTTTCACCCAATCCTCAATATAGGTTCACCCAAGACAACACGGCATAATTGAGATTCTGTGATAAATAATATTTTCAATTTGAATAAACAGTAAGCAATCGTCATGATAAATACTTTTTGTACCGTTGTCGCAGATTGGGTGTAAACAGCTGCCATACAAACCTTTTTTGAACCTTTTCGTAGTTCCAGTGTTGCTTGGCATTGTAATCTGTTCAGTGAATGCATGTGCCCAAAGACCTGACTGTAAAAGGGAACGTGAATTTGAGGAGGAACTGAATCGGATACAACACCGACGTTAACCGTGTTGAACGGCTTGTAGCTATAGGCAAGTAACTACAAAAATATATATTCACCTCCATCTGCTCACTAACAGTAGCTGTAGTAGATACAGGAATACATACAAATCAAACATATAACATATTGTGTCTGACGGCTGAAACGGAAAATCTTTTTCACATTTTCGTGTTTACTTTCTAAAATTCATTATTAATTGAATTATCTCAGTTTATAATAATATTGTAATAATATCACAACAGCTTGTATCGTGGTGATCAATGTGAATAGATCTCACTACAGCTTACGTCTTACAGCTACATCTGGCTGTAATTATTACATAAGAATGTTCAGGATTTAAAGCTCCAGCTGACAGGATAAAGGTCCATCTATATGACAGCTTACGTTGGTTATTTCACTCCGACAATACACTGACAAGCCTGTTTACTATGTGGATTAGAATGAAATAACCTAGCTGTTTCAGACCCTTGACATCATCTGTAAACACTGCATGTAAAGGTAGGTCAACTGACTCTAGCACTGGAGTTTTGAAACATTTTCTGCTAACAGTGCTGAGCATGTGATGGCGTCTGCCTTTGCATGTCCTGCACATCCCTGATTTAGAGGTTTCTTTTAGGTGTACAGCTCACATGTGACTGGACTGGACACAGGACTTTGACTTTTCCTGGAGGCAACAGACTAACTTTCAACACATTGATTCAACTTGATGAGGCCATTTAAACAAACAAATCATCAAAAAAAAACGTTCCCCTAACTGAAAATAATTGAGTAATGTGTGTTATTTTATTCGGCTGTGCGTCTAGCAGGTGGAAATCAAACGAGAATTGGAAAACACAATTTCCGTTCTCTTTTATTTGACTCTGCCTGATTTAACATTTAGATTAATTACATTCTTTCAATGCTAACACTTAAGTACATTTTAAAAATAATTCAGGTCAATTAATATCAGCTTGTTTTATTAAAATGTACAAGCCAGTTTGACATTTTTGAGAGTATGATGAGAGAAGTGAATCAGTGGAACTATTTCTGTAATTATTTGCCTTTATAACAGATATGAAATAGAGCAGTTTTGCTATTATGCACTTATTTATCAGGAAATGGTTGCAGAAAGTCAGCAGATCTACAAGGTGTGTTGGGATTTCTACTTTCTGTCTGTTCATCATGAAATTCAGCACAAGCCAAAGAGTAACTGGACTTTTCAAATTACGCAAAGAAATTAAAAATGACAAAAACGGAGGTTCAAGGTTCTTGGGTGACAGCGAAGATATGTTTGTGGTAATTCACAGAAATGGGATCACTTTAAAGCCTGAGAACAAATTCTTTTTTTTGAGTCCTTGCACCACCACGTCCCACGATTCCTTGAGATCTTTAAATCCAAGAAAGGAGTTGTTGGTGGAACACTTGCAGAGATCCTCGCCCAGGTTGAGATAAAGGTGATCCAGTCCCCTCTTTAAGACTAAACATATGTTTTTCTTTAGTGTTGTAATTAGTTTCTGTAGTTTAATAATCTGTCTTTTGGAAATAGAGCAACAGAGCACTTTTGAGATGTCAAGTCAGGGAAATTGCGAAGAACCTTGGTGTTTGCCTTTTGAGTTTTTTGGATTTTTTTTATAATCTTTATAATCTTGTTTCAGCTGCTCCTATTTGTGGGACACACTACCTGCAAAATTATTTGATGCTCACATAAAAGCAGAACAGTAGGTGGATCTCTATCCTTTTATTTAAATGGAAACAGATCACAGATTAGCCAGGACCACCAGTTATGTTACAGTATCTAGCAATTGAAATGTTTTAATGTAGAAGAGGAGAAAAATTTGCTAAATTCTCTTCTAAGTTTGGATGGTCACAGCTTTGCTCTCTGGTTATCATAGTTGTTAGGCTCTGATGAAGTTGGGTTGTACTTGCAAATGCAGTTCACTGAAATGCAGTTAAATTAGGATAAGTCAGTGTTATCAGCCAAATTGTTATGTTTTGTTCAAAACATATCAATGCACTTGAAGCTCTTAACTTAACTGCACTTAACTGGGTTGCCCTTAAAGGAACAAAGATTAAGATGAAAGATAATAGGGATATTTTTCCATCATTCGGGCCATTGTCAAAGGGGTTTTCTCTTCTCATTTATTTGTGTTTGTAGCAAGTTAAGCAATAAGTTCATTTTTGAAGAAGTGTTGTCCACCACTGTTCCCAGAAGACTAAAGAGAGCTGGTGAGAGGTGGTGCCCTTTGCTTGCGCCTGCCAACTCACTGTGGTGGGCGAGCAGGAGAGCACCCCGCCCCCCCCCCTTTTACCTACTTTTACCCTGTTCTTCGGTGGTTAGGACCCCCTTGGACCCTCACAGAGCAGGTACTATTTGGGTGGTGGATCATTCTCAGCACTGCAGTAACACTGAAGTGGTGGTGGTGTGTTAGTGTGTGTTGCGCTGGTCTGAGTGGATCAGACACAGCACTGCTTCTCTGTGAGGGTCCATAGGGGTCCTGACCACTGAAGAACAGGGTAAAAGGGGGCTAACAAAGTATGCAGAGAAACAGATGGACAGGAGGTGGTCATAATGTTATGCCTGATCGGTGTATAACTACTATATTAAAAATGAAACCCATTGTTGCTTTTGACTGAAAAGTAAAAATATGTCTAATTGATCTTATTTCAGAGAGCGAACATTCGAAGTAGTTGTCCCATGTCCTCAGTTTACCGCCATGAAGGTGCATCTATAATGTCTTAGAAAAGCGAGGATAATGAGCAGCAGATTGGATGTCTGGGATGTGTCTGACTTTAAGACCCCTGAAGCTGCACATTTGAACCTGGAATCACACAGATTCCAACTGTGGATGAAGTAGAAAATGTAGTGTTGACACTATAAAATTAGGTACTTTAAACGTGTGGTTGAAACCTACTTAAGAAATCATGCATAAACTTGTGTGGTCTCCACTAAAAGGACACTTAAATGTTCAGTTTATTCCAGCTGTCTGGTTCCATGTACTTTTATTTTAATATGGCACATTAAAAAGAACAACACAAAACTACATTTCTTGTTATGAAGCATGAGACGTTTAAACACAAAGAATAATTAACCTAATAAATGATACACTTATATTAGCAAACGTTTCCTACTTTTTAAAACTTTTGTTTTAACTGGGTCTGTTTTTAAAACAATGAGCAAAAAGCCTGGTGTGGCGGCAGAGGACCAGCAGTCATAATGTTTTGCATGAAATTTTAAAATAGAAAATTAAGATATTTAATTTAATAAAAATAATAAATACTAAAAGCAATTATATTTTCTTGTTAAAGAACATGATATAAAACGTTTGAAAGAACATTGATAAACTAAGTGCAAGATTTCACTTGTTGTATAAAACAGCATTCTTTGTCACATTTTCATGTTTACAATTACAAAATCACAACCGCTCATATTGTAGTGATCAGTGTGAATAGATTTCACTACATCTCACAGCTAAAGCTGTATCATGTAGGAATGTTCAGGATTTAAAGCTGACAGGCTCCAGACCCATCCATATGACAGCTTAGGGACTTCACTCTGACAATACACTGACAAGTCTATTCACTCATGTGAGGTTAATGTGGATTAGAATGAAATAACCTAAAAAGTTGTTTCAAACCCTTGACCTCATCTGTAAACACTGCATGTAAAGGTAAGTCAACTGACTCTAGCACTGGAATTTTGAAACATTTTCTGCGAACAGTACTGGACATGTGATGGTGGTCTGCCTTTGCATGTCCTGCACGTCCCTGATTCAGAGGTTTCTTTTAGGTGTACAGCCCACATGTGAGTGTAAATGTTATGTTAGACTTTGAGACTTTGCCTTGGAGGTTACTTTGAGAATATAACCTTTTTTTTAAATATAACCTCATTTCCAAAAAGGTTGGGACGCTGTGCAAAATGCAAATAAAAACAAAATGCAATGATGTGCAAATCATTTAAAACCTATTTTTGAAAATAGTACAAAGATAACAAATTAAATGTTGAAACTGAGAAATTTTATTGTTTTTTGAAAAATATTTGCCCATTTTGAATTTGATGCCAAAAACATGTTCCAAAAAAGTTGGGACAGGGGAATGTTTACCACTGTGTTTCATCACCTCTTCTTTTAACAACACTCTGTAAGCATTCGGGAACTGAGGAGACCAAATACTGTAGTTTTGAAAGTGAAATGTTTTCCCATTCTTGTTTGATAGAGGATTTCAGCTGCTCAACAGTTCGGGGTCTCCTTGTCGTATTTTTCATTTCATAGTGCTCCAAAGGTTTTCAGTGGGTGACAGTTTGGACTGCAGGCAGGCCGGTTTAGCACCTGGACTCTTTTACTACAGAGCCAGGCTGTTGTAATACATGCAGAATGTGGTTTTACATTGTCTTGCTGAAATAACCAAGGCCTTCCCTGAAAAAGACGTCGTCTGGATGGCAGCATATGTTGACAAAACCTATATATATCGTTCAGCATTAATGGTGCTTTCACAGACGTGCATGTCACCCATGCCATGAGCATTAATGCCCCCCTATACCTTCATGAATACTGGCTTTTGAATTGTGCACTGATAACAAGCCATGGACAGTGTCCATGATTTCCAAAAAGAATTTCAAATTTTGATTTGTCAGACCACAGGACACTTTTCCACTTTGCCTCAGTCCATTTTAAATAAGCCCATACCCAGAGAAGGTGGCAGCATTCCTGGATCCTGTTTATGTACAGTTTCTTCTTTGTATTTTAGAGTTTTAAGTTGCATTTGTGGATGAAGCCACAAACTGTGTTCACAGACAGTGGTTTTCAGAAGTGTTCCTGAGCCTATGCAGTGATTTCCACTACAGAATCATGTCTGTTTTTAATGCAGTGCCACCTGAGGGCCCAAAGATCATGGCCAGCATATACTGGTTTTTGGCCTTGTCACTTCCATGCAGAGATTTCTCGGGATTCTCTGAGTCTTTAATGATATTATGTACCGTAGATGATAAAAAGCAAAAGTTCTTTGCTATTTTATGTTGAGAAACGTTATTCTTGAATTATTGCACAGAGTGGTCAACCCCTCCTCATCTTTACTTCTGAAAGACTCAGCCTCTCTGGGATGCTTTTTTATACCTAATCATTTTATTGACCTGTTGTCAATCAACCACCAGGTGTTTTTTTTTTTTTACATTACACAACTTTACCAGCCTTTTGTTGCCCCCGCCCCAACTTTTTTGGAACGTGCTCTTGCCATCAAATTCAAAATGGGCATTTCAAAAAACAATTAAATTTCTCACTTTCAACATTTAATTTCTTTTCTTTGTACTATTTTCAATCAAACATAGGGTTTAAATGATTTGCACATCATTGCATTTTTTTTTTTATTCACATTTTGCACTGCATCCCAACTTTTTTGGAAATGGGGTTGTAAAAGAGCTTGATGTAGTTTGTACATATGTATGTAAATCATGGCCTCCATAAGGTCAAGTCAAGTCCAGTGGTCTTTATTGTCATTCCTCTAGTTGCACCACACAAACTAATAACATTGAGAGTAGTAATTACTAAATATTTACACTTCTTCCTAAAGCAGGCGGAAAAAGAAACTACATAGAGAGCACAAAACAGACTAAAAAGATTGGTTAAGCTAAAAACACTAATTGATATATGCTATATCTCATAGCTAAATGAGAGAGTGGTCATGTAAGTAAAGGTGGCTAAAGGTTTTTCTGACTGACCTTGTGGAAAAAATATGTATTTTAGCACTTTTCAGCTTCCTCCTCAATGACTTTCTTATTATCTCTCTTTCAGCTCCACTTTTTATCCCCATTTTACAAAGTTATAAACACAAATCCTGAATCTGTGGACTACTGACTAGACTAAATAGACCACTGAGATGTTTTACAATATTTTTGTGACAAGATTTTTGCCTATAATGTATTAAAAATACAAGTCATGGTAGAGAGGTCATGCATGGTGTTGTAAGTTCTCAAATACATTTGAATTTTCGGATTTAGCACTGTTTTGACATTGTCAACACTACATATAAAATCTCAGAAGACATGTGTAGGTTCACTGGTCGTTCTGAATAGCAAATCCAGTGCAGGATCCAGTATTTATATTCCTGTGTAGCGCACTATGTAGGGAGCAGGGAGCTGTTTGAGATTCAGCCCCAGCATGAGAAGAGAGGTGCTGCTGGATTAATGCTAAATAAGACTTGCAGTGGTAATTTGGTGACCAAAAAGTACTTATAAAGCAAAAGTTTTGCATTAAACAGTGCTGTGTTCTCATATGTTCATATGTTATATGACAAAACGACAAAAGGCAACCAAACGTTCTCCTCATTCAGGCAACGATACCGTACTCTAGAGGAACTAGCTACATTTCTTGGCAGAATACTTGTTGATGTCGATTATTATTAATAATAACTTAAATTATTTTCTGAAAAATTGTGTATTTTATCATATTTCATGTTGGCTGCCCTTTTAAAAAAGCAAGAGGCCATTTGAGACTGTGTGTTACTGTGATTTTATCACAGGAAAGGGAGTTTTAGGCACTTCACTTCACGTCTTGCCTAAGAACACTGAGAAGTTTAACTGTTTAGGAGAAGCATCTGTCTGCAGAGAAACTTTATCACATGGCTACTATATTTACTACCTGATGCTACACAAGTAAATATTATAGATTATTATTGTAATACTGCATTACAGAATCTTATAGTTTCCTTGTGTATTACTACAGCAATAAATAAACAGATGTTTATTTATCATAAAGCTGAAAGTGTGGCTGATTAAGTGTTAAGAGTGGTGGTGGGCTTTGACTGGGGGAGTCAAATTGCTTGGGTTGCTTCCATTTCCCCTCTAAAAGAGCTTCACAACACTGAAGCTACCTGTGAAAAAAAACTAATGGGGATATTTTTCCAACATTCAGCCCATTATAAAGAGGTTTTCACTTCTCATTTGTTTGATTTTGTAGCAAGTAGAGCAACAAGATCATTTTTAAAGTAGCATTTTCCAGAACTGTTCCCAGAAAACTAAAGAGAGCTGCCAAGTGGTGCCCTGTGCTTGTGACTGCCAACTAACTGTGGTGGGAGAGCAGGAGAGCCCCCCGCCCTTCACTGCTGATTCTCAAGTGGTCTGTGTGAACATTAGAGGGGATCAGAAAACACTCAGAGCTCAGTGATCCACACACAACAAGCAAGATGAGTGCTGTGCTGAAGCTGCTGCTGCTGGCGACAGTTATTCTGCTGGTTTCTGCTCAGGAATGGAAGAACTATTGGAGCTTGCCTGATTCATACAGAACACACATTGACAAGGCACTGCATGATGCCAATGGAAAACTTGGGGGTCCTTATCATGTTGCCTATGAAAGCCTCTTGCCAAACCTGAAAGTATTTTTTTTTTGTCTGTTATTTTCTGCAGCTGAAATGATTTGATATAACTGTAAAGTTGAGCAAACCTACTTATGTATGGCAGAATGTTTATGGTTAATCAGCTGCAGATTTCAGAATTCAGATTTGTTATGTCTTTATTTTGTTTTATTGTTTTATTTGGAGACTAATGTGGGACACTTTTATGCTTTTTCACAGATTACAGATGATGACTTCTATGTAAATGTGCGTCTGATGGTCACAACATGCAGGAAGGATGAACAGAAAGGTTTTGGACATCGAGATGAATGTGTTACACAAAAATCTAAAACGGTGTGTATAATATCTTTACTGGCTGAATGCAAAGTTAAATGATGTCATACTAAACATTGACTAGCCAAGGTCCATTTTCTTCTACTTACTTATTAATCAGTGTGTAAACAGACTGTGTTTCTGAATATGTTGAGATTAAAAAAGGGACAGGCACTACAAATCAGTTACAAACACAGACTTTCTCATTTATTTTTTAAAGCCCTGGATTGACTGTGTCGTGTGTAAGCCAAAAAATGGTGAAGAACTAATTGACTGTGTGAGACAAGTGGATGCTAAGAATGTAAGTTCTGAATTTATTCATGAATAATACCAATACTACTGTTCATGAACAGAAGCTGCAGTAGATACAGAAACATATCCAAATACCAGAATAAACATAAAACCCATTGTTTCTTTCAATTGAAAAGTAACATTAAGTCTAATGGATCTTATTTCAGAGAGCAGACATTCGAAAAAAGTGTTCAGGTTACCGCCATGGAAGTACAACTCTGCCATCTATTTAGACAAATAAATGTTAGGCATTTTCCAACTGTCTGGTTCAATGTACTGTTATTTTAAAATGGCAAACACAATAAAAAAATAATGATTAAAAACAAATCTACATTTCTTGTTATGAAGCATGATATGTTTGAACACAAAGCATAAATAGCCTAATATAGGATACACTTCCATTACTAAACATTTGCTACTTTTTGTCTTAACTGGGTCTCTCAGTGCAGATAGATGCTAACTTAGACAAGAACACATTTTTTCCCAAATATATCACTATCTGTGGTGTTGAACAGCTCGTCAGGTACGAGAAGTAAAAGTGTGCTTCTACAGGCACTTCAGGCGTGTGTGAATTATAAATGAACTTTTCTTACAGTTACTGAAAATGTTATTACAGCAGTTTCAATAAACAGTAATTCAAAGTGCTGTTTCTCTGATGTTTGTGTTACTGTATTTTTGTTACACATGCCTTCTTACTGTAAAAGTGGGTAAAGATCAAAATCTGACAGAAAAAAATAAATGAGACATTAATTTGCAGCATTTTATCTAAAAATCTGTTAAGTAAACCGCTCTGAAAACAATGAGCAAAAGCCTGGTGTAGCAGCAGAGGACCAACAGCATATTGTTTTGCCTCAGTGTATAGCCTGTATCCATGTATCCAGGCATACTGCATTTTTCACCTCCATCTGCTCATTAACAGTAGCTGTAATAGATACAGGAATTTATACAGGTCCAACTAAACATATAACCCATTGTGTCTGACAACTGCAGGAAATTTTGAAATAGAAAATTCTCAGTCTTGTTTTTAAGATATTTAATATAATAAGAATTATCAACATTAAAAGTTTCAGGGCATGATATAAAACGTTTGAAAGAACACTGATAAACTAAGTGCCAGATTCCACTTAAAGAAAAAGCGTGTTGTATAAAACAGCATTTTTTGTCACATTCTCATGTTTATTTTCTGAAATTCACTATTAATTGCATTATGTCTGTTCATACATATTTTTTTTATGTGTGAAAAAGGACCAGCATCACAAAATAAAATAGCCTAAACAGCTGTTTCAAACCCTTGACATCATCTGTAAACACTGCATGTAAAGGTAGGTCAACTGACTCTAGCACTGGTGTTTTGAAACATTTTCTGCTAACAGTGCTGAGCATTTTCTGCTAACAGTGCTGAGCAAATAAAAAAGCTTGACGTAGTATGTACGTATGTATGTAAGTCATGGCCTCTCTAAGGTCAAGTCAAGTGGTCTTCGTCATTTCTTATTTTAATTTGTATCCATTGAACGAAATGTTGTTCTTCATGCCTCGTGATGAAACACACAACAGAAGCACCTTACACAGGACTACATAGAGTGCAGATACACGACAACAGGACATGAGTGCAGAAAATACAATAAATACATAGACACATTTTCTAAGCCACTTATCCTTCTGGGTCACGGGGGCTTCTGGAGCCAGTCCCAGCGGTTATTGGGCGGAAGGCAGAATACACCCTGGACAGGTCGCCAGAAATACTGGACAGGACAACAAAATTATACATACATACATACACACATATACACATTATATATATATATATATATATATATATATATATATATATATATATATATATATATATATGAATGAGCATTATACACGGATGGATGGGCATCAAAACAACATGTGAACAGTAAAGGAACTAGGTGTCGTCACCTGTCAGAGAATGAGGCTTTAATTGTTTGAACTTTGAACACAATCCAAAATCGTGGTCACAGGCAGAGGTCAAAGCCAGGAAGATCCAAATAAGAAAAAGGAAAACATAACAGGGACAGGAACCAGAAAAAAGGGTACAAAAGGGGCAAGACAAAAGGCAAAGTCAAAAATACAGAAGCGAAGTCTGACACACAGTTAGGCAATGACAACAAGTAATACCTCACATAGATCTAGTCTAAAGCCTAGGCTTATATCCTAACTAGGTATGATCACATGATAGAGGGAACCGGTGAAACAGATCCATATTCAGGTGAGGATGAGCGTTGATTGGTTGATGGTGGTGGAGCCACAGCCACCTGATTGCCAAGAGAGTTCTGGGAAATGGAGTTTGTAAAAGAGTCTGAGCCAGAGGGATGCGTGAAAAAAGGCTGTCACAACCATTTTTAAAGAAGTCCACCACTGTTCCCGGAAGACTAAAGAGAGCTGCCAAGTATGCATGCGACTGCCAACTCACTGTGGTGGGAGAGCAGGAGAGCCCCCCGCCCTTCACTGTTGATTCTCAAGTGGTTTGCATGAACATTGGAGGCGATCAGAAAACACTCAGAGCTCAGTGATTCACACACAACGAGCAACATGAGTGCTGTGCTGAAGCTGCTGCTGCTGTCGGCAGTAACTCTGCTGGTTTCTGCTCAGGAATGGGATAACTATCAGAGCTTATCTGATTCAATAAGAACACACATTGACAAGGCACTGGACAATGCCAATAGAAACTTTGGGAGTCATTATCATGTTGCCTATGAAAGCCTCTTGCCAAACCTGAAAGTAAGTGTTTTTTCTGTCTGTTATTTTCTGCAGGTGAAATTAAATGATATAACTGTAAAGTTCAGCAATCCAAGTTTTTAATGGCAGAATGTTTATCGTTAATCAGCTGCAGATTTCAGGTTTCAGATCAGTTACCAGCAATCAGTAAACAGACAGAATGTGAACAAAACATTCATAACTTCCATGGTTGAGTCATTAACTAGTTAATGTATTTGCCAAGTACAACATGCTCTCTAATAAAATCTAGAAATAGGAAACAACTTAAATATAGTATGTTCTGCAATATATATATATATATATATATATATATGTATATATATATATATTATATATATATATATATATATATATATATATATATATATATATATATATATATGGATCTGAACAGTAGATTATGTAGATTTGCAACAAATATGTGATTTGTTGTTTTCTATTATGTCCTTGTTTTGCTCTTCTTTTATTTGGAGATTTATGTAGCCCACTTTATGCTTTTTCACAGATTACAGCTGATGACTTCTATGTAAATGTTCGTCTGATGGTCACAACATGCAGGAAGGATAAACAAAAAGGATATGGACATAGAAAAGAGTGTGTTACACAAAAACCTAGTACGGTGTGTATGATATCTTTACTGGTTAAATGCAAAGTCAAATGATCACATACTAAACATTGACTAGCCAAGGTCCATTTTCTTCTACTTACTGTGTGAACAGACTGTGTTTCTGCATATGTTGTTATGAAAAAAGAGACGGGCACTACAAATCAGTTACTAACACAGACTTTCTCATTTCTTTTTTAAAGCCCTGGATTAACTGTCTTGTATGTAAGCAAAAAAATGGTGCAGAACTAATTGACTGTGCGAGACAAATGGATGTCGAAAATGTAAGTTCTGAATTTATCGGTATCTAATGCACGTCCTACTGCTAATGAACAGTAGCTACAGTATATATAGGAACACATATACTTACCAGACAAAATGTATAACCCATTGTTGATGACAACTGAAAAGTAAAAATATGTCTTATTGATCTTATTACAGAGAGCGAGCATTCGGAGTAGTTGTCTCACTCCCTCACTCCCTTACCGCCATGGAGGTGGATCTTTGATGTCTCGGATAGGTGGGGATGATGGGCCGCAGATTGGATGTTCTGGATGTGTCTGACTTTGAGACCCCTGAAGCTGCACACACAAACCTGGAAACACGCAGACTCCAACTGTGAATGAAATTTAAAAAAAATGTAGTGATGATTGTATAAAATCAGCTACTTCTAGACAAATGGTTAAAACCTACATAAGAAATGGAGCATGTGGTTTCCAATAAAAGGACACTTACATTTTAAGTTTATTCTGGCTGTCTGACTTTATGTATGCATTAAAATAGCTAACACAATAATGAGAATAAATATTAAAAACAAAACTGCATTGTCATCATAGAGAATGATATGTTTGAACACAAAGTATTTATAAAATAATTATTGTGTGCATTTATACATAATTAGCAAACGTTTGTGACTTATTTTAACATTTTATCTTAGACATGAACGCATTCTTTACCGAATAGGTAGCTAACCGTGCTGTTGAGCTTGTCAGGTACCAGAAGTAACAGTGTGCTTCAGCAGACCCTCAGGGAGGAGAGCTTAGCCTGTTTAGTGAGAGCCTTCAGTCAAAGAACACAAAAATTCACTACAGTCTTGGGTCAGTGTGAGTTACTAATGAATTTATTCATTCAAAATTTTAATTCATGACCCAAACATTTCTTGCATTTTCTGAAAATGGTATTTCAGCAGTTTCAATAAAAATAACATTTCAAAGTGCCTTTTCTCTTTTGTTTGTGTTATTGTATTTTTTGTCACACATGAAAAAAAAAACAAACAAAATGTAAAAAAGCTGAAAAAGAGTCAGGTCCCTCAAATGTCAATTCTTTGCCTCCAAGCTTCAAGCATGTTTGTTTGATCCAGGTTCACAGACATGGGAAAGATTTTATAGTAATGACATGCCTCTAGTTTGTGACCATCATGGTTTGCCCACCCTGTTAACTTGTGGCTCATTCAGTTACATGAACAGTTTTCATCCTGATTCAATGATAATATTAAACATGATGCATACGTTTGTGCTAATTTGCAGAGACGGGAGTGGAGGAACATTTAAAAGGCTGGAAACAAATTCTGTCGATATTTATTTTTATTGTGAAAATTAATGGTATTTCATAGAGCCATAACAAGACAATGTACGGTGCAGATTCACTGTGTTCTTGTAGATTACTGTAAGGCACACTAAGTCTCTTAGGAGATGTAGATGTTACTAATAATGTGTCCTAAACATGTTGAGACAGTTATAAAAATGTCCTATAAGAGAGTGGACATTTGGTGAAAATGATTCTGAGCTGCACTATGTAAGTTTTTTTTGTTTAAATTGTAAGAAGGAGCGTTTGGACAAAAAAAAGGCTAAAATATGGTGAGTCTGCGCTGCTACAAGTCGCTCTGTAAAGCCTGAAACAATAATTTTAAAAAGTCAGAGGGGTCAAGTTGGATTCCACAGGGTTTTTTTTCAGATCACTTCATATGTATTTACATAAAAGAAAGTCCAACTCAATTTTTAGGTCTCAAATGGAAATCAACATTACACTTATGATGATATGATGACAGTAGTAGATAATTTACTTACATTCTCAGAAGACACATCATTCACCAAGTTCTCAATCATCAGGTTCATCCTCTCTGGGAAGGGCTGTGAAAATGATCTTTGGCACAGATCTCCTGGGGACATTCCGCTTCTGTCCCCTCATTATCCCCAAACGTGCTGCTTGTTGTGTTCGTTTATTTCACTTAATTCATCTTTGTTGATAACTGGTTGATGGATTTGCCTATATTTTTTCTGTCTGCTTATCATTTGATCACTGCCTCTCAAAATTCATCCAGTGAAACTCCTTAACATGTGGCTTAATTCAGTTTTTGTAAACAGCACATGTAATGCAGTTTAATTAAACAATTAGACGGATTAAAGTGGTTCTTTAAGGGTTCTAGTAAGGGGAATGGTTCTACTTAGAACTTATTCTGTATAGAACAATTTCATGCTTAAATGTTTTTTCGCATACTGAAACGTTTCTTGAGAGAATGTGTTGTATAAGGTTCTATGTAGCGCCAAAAAGGGTTCTGCTATTGTTTTGATGTCAAGCTTGTAACTAAAGAATAACACTTTTTGGTGCTATTTATAACCATTTTCAAAAAACCATATACAACACATTCTCCATCTATCTGAAGAACCATTTCACCATGCAAAGAACCATTAAGCCAAAAATGGTTCTATATACAACTCATGGTTCTAAATAGAACCGTTCTGTTTGCTAAAAAACCCTTGAAGAAATGTCTTTTTTAGAGTGCAGACTAAGATTTTATTCATAGCTAATTTTGAGAACAAAAAAATAGAACTGTGCTACAGAGTGAAGAGATGCTTGGGAGCCGAAAGAGTCGACTTTTATTTGTAAGCTGAGCCGATTCATCTGACTCACTGACAAGAGAGTGGGGGCGGTGACAGGTACACGGAGCAACGAGCTCCCGTTCCCTCTCGGCTTATGAGCGCACGCTGGTTGAAAGATTGAACGGCCGCGTGTTTTTAATTTCACCCAAGATAACACAGAATAATTGAGATTCGGTGATAAATAATATTTTCAACAGTAAGTAAGTAAACAATCGTAAAAGAGTAAACAATCATACAGATAAACACTTTTTGTACCGTTCGTCGCAGATTGGGTGAAAAGGGCTGCCGTACAAAACTTTTTTGAACCTTTTCACTTTCCGTAGTTCCTGTGTCGTTTGGTGTTATCTGTTCACTGAATGTGCGTGCTCGAGTAGCTGATTTTTCAAAGGGAGCATGAATCTGAGGGGGAACTGAATTGGATACAACACCCACATTAGCCGTGTTGAAGGGCGGTAGCTACAGGCAAGTAACTACAAAAGCATGTTAGTTTGCATGCATTGATCTCAGTTGAGAATGCAGTTTTGACAGGAAACACAGAAGTAATCAAGAGTATTAGTTTATATTAAAAAATATGTTTTAAGCCAAAACTTTCACAAAACAATATCTCAAGTGACAAGTAATGCATTTATAACAATTTTGTGTAGTAACAGCTTTTAGAGCCATTGAATGCTTTGGACGTCTGGTTCCTAATTCCTAACTATAATGGTGAACGATTCTGGCTCGGTAAATTTCTCTGGGAAGCAGCATTTCACACTGAAGTACTCTGAATGAGTTTGTTTACATCTAAACTATTGAATGATTACATTATTTTGCAAAATCGGTGAAGTTCCTCTTTAAGTGGAAGGCTCTGAAAATGATGAGCAAAAAGCCTGGTGTGGTGGCAGAGGACCAATAGCATATTATGCCGGTAGTCATCATGTTTTTCCTCATTGGTATACTTCATTTTTCACCTCCATCTGCTCACTAATAGTAGCTGTAGTAGATGCAGAAATACATACAAATCAAACTAAACATATAACAGGAATCTTTTTCATGTTTATTATCGAAAATTCATTATTAATTTCATTTTCTCACTTTATAA